TTCATCACTTGTTTGGAACACTTTATGGCACTGTCTTACTTTCCGGTGCCGTTTCAGCCATAAAACTTCTTGAAACCAATGTTATCCTCTTCACAGGCACCGTATTTATGCGCGGCGCTGCCTGCTCGTGGAACGACACGCTAGACAAAGAATACGACCGCCAAGTGGCGCGTTGTAGGCTTCGGCCGATCGCCCGAGGAGCTTTGAGTGAGCTCCAAGGCCATATCTTCACGAGCTTCTTGACCCTCTTCGCTCTCTTCTTTCTGTATCAGCTCCCACGAGATTGTGCCATCTTAGCTATTCCAAAGATCATTCTTCTTGCACTCTACCCCTTTGCTAAACGCTTTACCGACTTCCCTCAACTAGTCCTGGGGTTCGAGATGGCTTCGGGGATCTTCATTGGCGCTGCCTCGGTGGGATATGATTTCCGGACGATGGACCAGAAGATGGTTATTGCGATGGTGCTCTTCTATCTGGCACAGGTGTGCTGGACAGTGGTTTATGACACCATCTATGCACAGCAAGACGTCGAAGACGATGCCAAGGCAGGGGTGAAGAGCATGGCCGTCCGATTCAAGGATGGGCCTAGGCAGCTGCTCGCATTTGTCGCCATCCTTCAGACAGTGTTGCTTACTGCTACCGGGCTAGTACAAGGGTTTGGGCTCTCTTATTTCTTCGTGACATGTGGAGGAACAACTGCGCTGTTATTTTGGAACGTGTATTCTGTTGACTTGAAGAACCCGTCCGAGTGCATGTGGTGGTTCATGTACGGCAGTAGGATGGTAGGCGCGATTACTTCTGCTGGGTTGTTGCTTGAGTTCTTTCCTTTAGAGGTGATGAAACAGCTATTGTGACTTACCAATGATTGATTGAAAACTCTCAGGGTTATTAGCCTTCGTTTTACAATAACGGAGTGATGTAGCCTTAGACGGATATCTACGTAATAGGTCGCAAGAGAAGAGTCTAATATGTGTCGAGTATTCTCAAACATTGTGTTCAAATAGTGATCAATGTGTATCTAGCCCAGTCCATTCACTTCAAATCCATATTTAGCCGGGGAGTTACAACTTTTGAAATTCATGTGAGCGCAGAGCACGGAAGCGATAAACCATTTTGTTTCATATGCAACTTTAAGCACCGTTAGCAATTAAAAAGGCTGATAGAAGATATTTAGGAACGCGCTGCTGGAGTCGATCTAAGGTTTTGCACAGGGACTTGGCGGCCACCGGCCACCCGGATCCGGAGGTAGTACCATCCCAATTTATGTATCCATGTCAAATGCGTCCTAACCTAATCCCTGGGTTTCCAATCAAGCAATTGCTGGGATATATGTAAGGTTGACTCAGACTATATGAATATCCTTGTTCGTCACTAAATCTAAGTTTCGGCGAGAGCGGCTTCTTCGATCAACTCGGTATGGATCACGAAGTTGATGTAAGTAGTGACTCTACTACCGGATGGACTTACCCTATTGAAGAGGCATTTCTTAATCTTTAATATTTCTCCGAAATTTACTTTAATAGAAAAGAACGAGCGGCAACTTGCTGAATGAGGCATTCGGCAGGAGCAGGCTATTACCAATACGGCCAGCAGTAGCAGCTCATTGGTACATTGGTTACATGATCACGTGTAACGCTATTTTAGCAGTATATAGGCAGCTTATGCCAGCAGCCTCAACAATCAGTTTTTTTTCTCCACTTGCTCTTAAACATTAGTAGCCCGGCGGAGAACGCCATACCGTTACAGTATGAGAGCGCCTCTCGTCCTTTCATAGTGACAAGGCACATCGAAATTTGACCCCAGAAACAGCAATTATCATCACTTGACATATTTACCATACCTAGTTGAAGTGCAATATCTAGAAGAATGAACCGATGGAATTGAAAGTCATTCAATTGAGGCTATTATCGAGTATATCCCAGTCGTCAAGAAAGAACCGTCATATCGTCTCCTTTCATCAAGATGCTTGGGTGAATTCAGAGTCTGCTCTTTCCAACTTCTGCAGGCTCATGTCCAATACTAGTAGCAACACAATTATCGGAACTAGCAAACACAGAAAAAAAAAACCGCATATCTGTTGCTCCGGCCCGAAGCGACTAGCCCTCGCACTAGACATCGCCGTTCATAATTCAATAACCATTACTTTATGAAGCATTTATAGCCCACTAGTGGAACTTGCAGGTACAATCTCCAAAAACTTGTAGTAGATTGAGTGGGTCTTCATATGGTGACAGGGAACGTTCCAGATGTCATCCTTTTCTAGGCCCTTGAATCCAGGCAGATTACGCCCGGTACTCAGAATTTAGTTCGGGGACATAGATATTGATGAAACCGCAATATTCAATAGAGTTTTTGCTACGTCCTTGGTATCGAGGCGAGCCTTATCTGGTGTGGAGACTTTATAGGTAAGGACAACTGGATTATTGGCGAGAATAGTCGCGGCAGTTGCTGCCAAAGCGAAGAGGTCCGTGAGCATAGTAATTGATCTTGGGGACTCTCAAAGAATAAAATGAATGTTAATTCGCTATACAGAATACCGAAATAAATGGGCGGACGTTAGGTAGAAGGGGCAGGTAGACTATGGTATCTTGAGATACGGTGTTGGAGTTTAAGGTAGACTGGACAAGATAAGATGGATCAGACCGGGAGGTGAAATAACTGTACTAACATGCCCTAAGTACTCTTAAATGAGACTACGATAGTAATTTTCAAATTAGTGACAGTCGCAAGTCTAACGGTGTATTCTAATATTTTATCTTCTATTAAGACTTTCTTTAGACACATTTATTTATCATGAAGAACTTGTGGGCGACCAAGAGTTGATGCATGTTGGAGGAGACACAGGAATGGAGATCGAGATTGTGGCGAGATTACCGGATGACTAGGCGCTGTTTACGTTTGAAGCTACAATTTTGGTTACGATTTAGAGCTTCATATCTAGAGTCTAGGGCTTCAGATCGTAAAGTTTTGGATTTGGCTAGTGTAAAGTATCGGGGTAGATGAGGAGGAGAACTGTGTTGATTCATATCTATAGAGGAACAAGGTTATTTATACTGTCTGTCCTAGGTATCACATGATATTAGGGCTAATCCATAATAGGGATCATGCGATACATAATACCTTGCAGCTAGTGTTTAGAGTCCTCTTTACGATGCTTAAGCGCGTCGTTTGTTTTTGGTCATCGACGATGTGGAAATAGCGGATGGTATGAAATAGGTCAGGTAGTAGTATATCTATTGCAATTGAACTGCACGTCTCTCTTTCAATATCACGGCAGTGTTGTGGTCGATAGCTACTATCAAGTGTCTCACCGCTCAAATAATCAAAGCATCAACGAAATCTACGTTCATGAAGAAAAACTATTGTATATTTTGAGGAAAACTACAATATACGCTATTAGGCTATATGAGGACACCCCAACTAGTGCTCTGTTGCTAATGTGTCAAGAAATCCCAACTATTCAAGTAAAAAAGTGGCAAATTTCTTACAAGCCTTGGTAAGTATTGGGTGGAAAGCATTTCTAGAGCCCTAAAATAAATAAGTTTGCATAAATTATGATGAAGAGCATATCAAGGATGTGATGGGGATTTTGGCAAGTCTGCTGAGTTGCATCGGACACCGTCGTACGATATCACGCCGGATATGAGCTGATATACCCCTTTTTCTATGTACATAAATATGGCCCTCTGGCCATCCTCAATCAAGCAGTTCAGTTACTCATTTCCCTCCCTGAGACAAGATTCGCCTCTCACCACAAAGGATGCCTAGAGTCTTGAAGAGATAGTTATGAGATGGATTGTCAAATTAAATAGCATAGTCATATAGAATTATAGATAATCAAAATGCTAGTTGCTCTTGGAATATTCAACCTCAAGCGAACCATTGACTTTTGCAAATATGCAAAACACATGTCACGTCTTGCGTGCAAGCATAGTAAACTCTTGACTTCGCATACCATTCGAACATAGAGTTGATGGTCTCAATCAGTTCTATATCGTTCGATTTATCCATGCAAATAATCATCAAGAAACCCTTTAGTCCTCGAAATCATCGGATTGAGCAAGGTTGTCGACATATCAAATGGTGTCAGCCCAAGTGTAACCTACGCCCTCTAACAGCTTAGCCAGCATAGAATTTGGTCCTTTTGTGTTCTGCTAAATTTCTCACTTCACGTTCTGCCATATCTCGAGACTTGGGTTTTTCCTTTTCCACTTGTGGCTTAATTAAAAGCAGGTAGGAATAAAATCGTTCTATGAACCCTCCGAGCGGAAACAGTCCTACATTGAGTAATCGCATGTCGATGTCCTGTATCGCATAGGGTTCTTTAATGGCCGCAGCGTTACTAGGCCTCAGCTTCGAGATAATGCGCAGCCCAGGTGGTCGGATACAGGAAAGATAATACACAAAAGTGTAGTTAAAGAAAACAAGAGTCAACAGAACTAGGCTAAGATAGGGTGGCCCCTCAGTCTTTTATATCCAAAACTACTGCTTCTTAGACCGTCCAGTTACACAGAAAATGTAGCTAAAGAAATTAATAATCACGAATGAAACGGAAATGCGTTAAGGCTTGGAGGATATACATTTAGGCGTTAAATTACAGCTGCCTCGGCAAATCGATGATTGATTGGACAAAAAAGTACAAGGCTGCATTGCGAGGGGAAGCGCTTACAGATTGATAAAATCGACGAGTAGAGGATAGATGCACGATAAAATGGTCCGGAGCTTGTGCGAAGCATGATAGGTAGATGCAAAGGTGCCAAAAAGGAGTTTGGTAGTCGTGCGGATGCACTTCATCAGGCAAATCAAATAGAAAGCGGATTGCATAAGTATGAACCAAGCAGCAACAGCTGGAAGGAAAAACAAGCTCGGGTATATCCGAACGCCGATGCAGTCTATCCTATTTTAAGTCTAGTCCTCCACACAACGTCCAAAGCGAGGTTGGGCCCAAAAACTCGACTTGCACAATTCCACGGCAGTCCAATGAATACAAGCAAAAGGAGTGTCGTCTGTGTGGATCGAACACACGACCTTCAGATTTGATGACTGAATTAGACTTCAGTCTGACGCTCTCCCAGCTGAGCTAAGACGACTCTTTGTTATCTGATTTGCTGGGCAAATTTTTGTCCAGAACACAATATAAAGATAAATTTTAAATTTGAAATAGCCTTAAGTGTCTTCAAAATTGCGGATACTCCTTGAAAACCTCATTTTCTTTTCCTTTTTTTTTTTGGTTTGAACAGTTAGTTTAGGTGGAGATGGGGGAGAAGAAGCGAGGATTGCTTTCTGCCGTTTGTTGGTTGATTAAGAATACTTCTATTTGAGCCAAGTGGGTTTACTCCGTTGTACCACGACTTAGTACTAACGTAAGCCACCACTTCATGCACGGCCCCACATCGTGCACGTTTACGAAAATCAACACCACATTTCAACACGCCATAACTCAGTCAATATGGGAGATATCGAGGCTGCGCTTAGCGCTATCGAATCGCTGCGATTAGGAGAAGATTTTACGTATGCAGAAGTTGCTCGCCGCTTCAATGTTGATCGATCTACGCTGTCTCGCAGGCATCGATGTATTACGGGCTCGATGGCGGAGGGGTGCAACAACAAACGATTGCTCAACGCCAGACAAGAAACTGAGCTTATAGAGTATATAAATAGACTCTGTACGAAAGGCCTGCCATCTTCAAGAGATATGATACGGAATTTTGCAAGTAATATAGCTGGAAGGCTAGCAGGAAAAAACTGGACTGATCGCTTCGTCGCACGATATTCAGATCAGCTAAAATCACATTAGACGACCGGAATCGACTCAAAACGTCAGCGAGCTGATAGCGCCTTTAAGTACTCACTATACTTCGAGCTATTGCGTCAAAAAATAGAGCAATATAAGCTTGAGCCTGCGCAAATCTCTAATATGGATGAGAAAGGCTTCCTAATCGGGGTGGTTAGTAGGATGAAAAGGATCTTCTCACGCAAGCTATATGACGAAGGGAAACTTAGAGCGACTCTATAAGATAGTAATCGTGAGTAGATAACGACGATAGCCTGTATATGCGCCGATGGCAGCTCTCTTAAGCCATCCTTAATTTATCAGGCTAATTCTAGAAAGCTACAAGATACATAGCTTCAAGATTTCGATCTATTAGAGCATAAAGCGTTTTTTGCCGTCTCACCTACAGGCTGGATGAACAACGAGCTAGGCCTACAGTAGCTTATTCAAGTATTTAATCGAGAGACGAAGGCGAAAGCTAGGTAAAACTATCGCCTACTTGTCCTAGATAGCTATAGATCTTATATATCTATGGATTTTATCAACTATTACGACGATAATAAGATCCTATTAGCTATATATCCACCTCATTCGACTTATACGCTGCAGCCTCTAGATATCAGCCTATTTAAGCCTCTAAGTCTAGCTTATACGAATCAGCTTACTAATTTTATAGCTGCTAGCTGGGGGCTCTCCACTATTATAAAGAGAGACTTTTTCTAACTTTTCTAGAAAGCCTAGAATATAGTATTTATTAAAAAGACTATTAAATCGGCGTTTATATATATAGGGCTCTCGCCTTTTAACTCTAATACTATTCTTAAGCGATTTAATATATAGAGCTCTTAGAGAGATAATAGAGATAGTAGTAACAATTCTAGTAATAGTATACTCAGCGCTTCTAATTAGCGTAAAATACAGGCTCTACTTAAGTAGGCTATATAAGATATCTATATAGAAGATTTAAAAAAGCTTAGTTAGATACTCTACTATATTTTATAATAGGCTAGTATAATAGATTACAGCGTAGCAATAATAGATAGAGTAGTAGAGCTAAAATATTCGTATATTCAGTTCTCTTAGAAAAGAGATAGCTGATAAAAGAGAAATAAATTACTACTATCCTTATAGGGTGCGATTCGGCTATTTTAACCTTAGGTTAGATAACTCTATATTATTAACCTGTAATTTAAAGCTATAAGATATTATATTATCTCTCTTCTTAGAAGGCTGTTGTTATAACAGCTTATAGAGGACAAATATTGCTAGAATAGACTAGTAGAGCTACCCTAAGATAGGTGCTGTTATATAATCTAGAGTTCCTTCTAGGTTAAGTAGTATATCATTACTACTACTTTTACCTTTACCTAGTAAGGTCGACCCTTAGGGAATCTTTATTACTTGCTGCCTAGAGCGGTATAAGTAAACGGTGCTAGTAGAGTAAATACTAATTATAAAAACGCTACTTTCTCCGCCTATTCTACTTCTTTAATTCTTATACTTCCTTAACCGCTTTAATAAGTATAATTCCCTCAATCTTCAGCTGCGTATTTAGTACAGTTATTATAGCTCTATATAGGATATAATAGAGTACTTTACAGCTAATAAGGGCTAGTAGACGCGCATACTCGCTGCCCGCGCCGCCCGCCGCCCATTTTTCTATTCTCGCTACACTCCTCTATATATACCCCTCTCGCGCCCTCCTCAGCGCCTTTCTAGTCTATAAATAGCTAATTTACGCCTAACAGGTCTATAACGCGTAATATAGTACTTGCTCTAGTCTAGAAGCGCTATATTAAGGAGGCTAAGGGTAAAGAATTCTATACTATCTACTATTTCTACTATTTAAGGCGTCTAGCTTGCGATAAGCTATATAAAGCAGATAGTAACTGTAAATTTGCTTCTTTAGACCTACTTATAGTAGAATATCTCTACGAAGGTATTTAATATAATATCTATTTCTACTACTTTAAGAAGAATAATAAAAATTGTTTTAAAGTATATTCTAGGCTAATATAGCGCATTCTAACCTTCTTATAGCTAATATATCTATAGTCGGATCTATCTACGCTAGAGTATATTATAAAGGTCGATTAAACTATTAAAGCTCTTATTACTACCTATATTAGTAGTAATAAGACTTAACTAGCTTAAAGGGTCTAAAATACTATTTAAATAGTAGTTAAATAGACTTAGATATATATTCTAGCTCTTTTTTACATATTCTAGTACTAATAGTAATATTTAGGCTTAGTAAGAAAGATTCTAACTTCCTATTTACCTATAATAGTAAGGATAGAAAGACCTCGTCTAGAATTAAACTTACTAGTTGGGACTATATTAAGATTAGTATAGCGCGTAAGTATAAGACTAAGAAAAATCTTCTTAATATAGATAATAATAAATATACTAAAGTAAAGGAAATAAAGTCCTCTATAAGTTAATTTAGACTATATCGTACTATATTATTCTATACTAATACTTTTAGCCTATTCGCCCTATTAAAAAGGTTCGACTAAGTTATAGTAGGAGAAAAGATTATAGTAAGGTATAAATATTAGTAGATATTAGTTTTTTTAGATATTAACAGGTTCTCTAGCGTTTCTATAGATATAATACTCTAGTTAAGTATCTTATAGTCTAAATTAGCGCTATATTTAGAATAATATAATATTTCCGCCTCCTATATATTATTCTAGTTTATAATATACTAAAATACAGTCCTTCTAGTATTAATAGTAGGAATTACCACTTCTTATAATTACTAAAGAACCTATATTAATATATAAGGCTAACTTTATAGGCACTTATTCTTAAACCTTATTTATATAACTTTAGTCTAGTAATAGTACTATTAAATACCTATAAAAAACCTTAATTTAAGGAAAACTAGATAAAGGTAGCTATATTAACTAGAAAGTTTATATAAAGGTTATACTCTAGAATAACTTAGCTATCCTTCTTCTTTTTTAAAAAGTGTCTACGGTCTTTAATAGATTTACTTAATTTCTTTAGTTTAATATCCTTCTTTTTCTAGAATACTTATAAAGTATTAATACTAATATTTGTTTCTAGCTCCCAACTATTCTTAGAGTCTAGGTAATTCTTCTATTTAACTAAGTATTTTTATACTCTAATAGAGTTTTACTTTTATTTAATAATACGATTAATTTTATATATATTATCCTTAAATTAGTATAAAATATTTTATATTAAACTATCTAGACTCTAAATAGACTCTTTTAGGTTATATAGCTCTAGTAAAGATATATAAAATACCGGATAGATACTATCTAACCTTAGAAGGTTAATCTAGTAGGTTATAGACGTTATAACCTTTATTACTATACTAGGTCTAAAATATTTCTAATCCAATTTCTTTTTAGGACGGGTTAACTTAATATATTAATTTAATACTAACACCTTATCTTCTACTACTAAAGATAAGTATATTCTCTTCTTATCTATATATTTCTTTTAATAAACTACTATAGTACTAATCTTCGCTTTATATTTACTTTATAATACTAGTATTTTAGCTGCTATACCTCTTACTAAAGGAGCTTCTCCCTCTCCTAAAGGCTCGTCTAGCTAATTAGATCCTTAGGGATCTGTACTATAATAAGCGTGAAAAGGTAAAATAGTAGTAGTTATATAAGCGCTGTTAATATATATAAACTCTACTATAGATAGTTAAACTATTTAATTATCTTACTCTAGATAGTAGAAATAATATAAATACTACTTAAGCGTCTAGTTTTATCTTTCTATTAGCCTATTAGTTTCTAGATAATAGGCTAAACTAAGACCTCGCTAAAATACTAAATAATAGTAAAAGATTTTCTAAGATTTTAACTTCGTTAGAATACTATAGTTAGATATTACTAACTCTAAGATACTATATAGTTAGATAACGTCGTATATTTAGACCTATATTAGATCTTCTACAGTCTAGGTAGAGATAGTAGGAATATAATAGACTATTTTAGTTAACCGGTTAACAACGACTATAATTAAGTCGTATACTTAACTAAGGAATAAACTTAGAGGGAGTTCTATAATAAAATCGAACGTAACTTATTCCTATAATCTACTTAGTACGGGTAATAGTTATAATAGGCTATAAAGCTTATACCTAAGAGCTTTTACCCTTCTATACCTTAAATAATCCTAATAGTAGACCTTAATATTATCTCTTATACCTTTCTACTAAAATTAATATAATACTCTCTTATATATTTTTATCTATTCTCTATAACCTGCTATACAGTAGTTATATACCTAATTAAGGGCGTTTTACTTCTTTTAGAATATTAT